ATGAGTAATCCCCTTTTAAACAAATAAAATGGTGCAAAAACCATAGATAGGAAAAGGGAGAATCAAGACTAGGTTTGGTATTTGTTAGATGGTGTATGTTAGAAGTAGTGGAGGAAGCAGCCAAGGGAATTTTGGAGTCTCATTTACTTGAGCGGATGTAGAGAGTCTGAGGCCTGGGAATTATTTCCTCTCCCAGAGCTACAATTCTCAGTGATTCAATAATCAATCCCTGTTCACAGGGAACTCTTAAAACTGTAGTTCTGTGAGCAGAATAGAGATCTTCTAACGACCCTCAGAACCCTTGGCAAACTACAGTTCCCATTATACTTTGAGGGGAAGCCATGACAGTTAAAGTGGTATAAGAGTGCTTTAAATGTAAGCTGCTGGTGTGCCTTGAGAGGGTTTGGATTTCCCTCAGTAAATAACCAGGGATTTAATGGCACTACTCTAGCATTAATATTCTGTATTCCTCTCAGCATTTATCCCACTCATAAAATAACCTATTGGCCATGATTATATATGTATTACTGTACGGCAAGCCCACCTTACTGTTAGCTACTGGATCAAATTGTCCTGCTTATAATTTAAATTGAAAGAAGAATGTATCATTTTCCCCTCCAGGTCTTGGTATACTTGCCTCACTGCTATTAAACTCCAGGGCAGCCCAAGCTCTTTCGACTTTCAGAGACACAAGGGAGGAGGTTAGAAGGGCAAGCTGTCTTTGGGGAGCAGTTTTCACCACATCTGCCCTTCTCAGCCAACCCAGATCCAACTCAAAATGTACCTCTGGCAAATTGCCCTCAGGCCACACAAAAAAATTCCTTTGGGGCTACTCCTAATTGGTGGTTTCCTCCCTGCTTAACTGGATTGCTTCATCTTGTTCCTTCACTCCTGGTTTACGGGCTTCTTTTTTATGGGCCCTTGAGGATGTTGGGCTCGCCCCACATCTCTCATTTATTTAGAGGGAGGGAAGACACTCCACAATGCAGGTCCTGGTGTTTTCTCTCTCCCTCTTTCTCCACCTTAATTGGTACCCAGAGCATTGGAGCAACATAAACTCAATTATAAAAAGGAATCCAGGAGGAAACTGCAGACCGAATAGGAGGGATTATGCGTCTGAATACTAGCTGGTAGTGCAGGGATGAGGAATCTATGGCCCTACAGATGTTGATGATCATGCTCAATGGGCAGGGATGATGAGAGTTGCAGCTCAACAACCTCTGGAGAACCACCAGTTTCCCATCCCGTTGCCAGTTGAAGGGCAAACAATGGAGACAAGCCCCACTTGTTAGCGTCCCTGAAATAGCTGGCTGGTCACTCTTAGAAACAGGATGCTGGACTAGGTGATCTATCTCTTAGCTAATGTTCTCATTTTAAAGCTGAAAATTAAATCATGGTGGCTGGAAGTGGTAGCAAAGTTGCAAGTATTCCACTATGCCTTTTACAATATTAAAAATGATAAGAATGGAATGTCACATTTTTGCCACTATTTATTTGTGCAGCAGTTGCAGATTTGTGCTTCATGTGTGCAGAAGAAGTAATATACTTTAGGTAATGGTTTTGGGTAAAGCAGGCCACAATTTTATTTGGTTATACATGAGGGAAATGGCGTGGCAGAAGTGTAAAGGTTGGGTCAGCATTCCAGGCAGCCTTTGTTATTGGAATGGAATTAAGTCTGATGATTGGGAAGCACCCAAAACACCCATGGGTATCGGATTTTGCCAAAAAGGTGTCTGGGCTACAGCTCTGCATGAGTTCCACCACCTTGCTGAAAAAGGTACATCTGATGGAGCAGTGCTCAAGTGCTACAAGAGCCTTAATTGAAGAACCCTTTGGGTTGTGAATCAGTCAGAACTCACCTGGTGCCTTTTTGGATACTGTCTGGAATGATGGAGGTAGGAATCCTCAAGTCCAGAGAAGGGGGGAGGAGAGAAGGGGCCAGTGATTCTGCCCACTGTGACTTCCTTTGCTATCCTTTTGTCTGTGATATGAAGCATACCCCTTACTGATATTGGATTGGGAGCATCAATGGTGCAATGCTGACCCATGGCTAGAATCTGGAAATCATGGATGAAGCCTTCCCAGAGACAAACTGCTGTTTGACAGTGGATGTGAGCATCAGGGAGAGATCAATGGGTCCTTAGGATGTGGGCCAAGCCCAGGGAGCTCACACCATCCTGAACTGAGTCGTTTCTTGGTGGCAAAGGCAGAAGAGGGGCTGTCTTTTTTGTTACCTGGGCGTTGAGACTGCCCATAGTTATGATTTGACTGGGGTGTGGTCCCATGTGTGAGTCACAGTCATGACATTACTAGCAGCTAACCCTATGACACTTGCCCTGGTTGTACTCCCAGCAAACCATCTTGGGAGGGTTATGAAGTAGGGCCTTTCCATTTGGGGCAACCATGCTTTTATCCAACCTGCCTGGGCTGAACAATTCAAGCCAATGCCTGTCATTAATGAGATCCCAACATTCCAGTTCCAGAACCCTCGAGGTAAAATGTATGTTTCTTATGACTACTCCTGATCTCACAGCTCGTGGGAGCACATGGGGCAAAATAGCCCAAGTTTCTGTGCAGCTGAGACTTTTAAGCCCACAGCTGCTCAATTCCTTGCAAAATCCCGTGAGAGCTTCCATCCTCCCATAGGATTTGGCAAGGGTGCCGCAAGAAGCAGGAAGGCTGAAATTCCACCCACCACTATCCCGGTGCTGTCAGACGATGGTGCCCCTACTCACAGGACACCTTGAGTAGTGACTTCTCACTTGTTGAATTCTATTGAATCAGTAAAAGGAGGTGATTTCAAACACCCTATTTCCTGCTAGGCTATAAATCAGCCTGCTAGAATACCAAGATCATCGCTTATCCAAGAGCAAAATGCCAAAGAGCAAAAAAATAAAAATAAAAACCATTCCCTCACTATAATTTTTCCCCTTCTACTTGACATCAGCGTTTGTTGGGTGTGGATAGGCAATGGCATCAAAACAGCACACAAAAACTTGGGGAAAACAATTGCGGAGGAGAGAAATGTAGATATTTGTGGCCATGGAAACAGAATCATCTCTGAGCTTTTTCTGGGAAGGTCCTCAAACCTCACACCCTTCCAGGAGGTGAGATGCAACCAAATAATTCCCTCAGCCATGAGGCAAGCATGTAGGTACAAGGCTGGCGGGAGCTGATAGAGATTCCTGGTTAACCAGAATTTGTTTGAAGCACTGGCTGAACTCTGTGGTCTTAGTTGCTGTCTCAGTCCCTGGAAGCAATTTGTGGTGAGAAGGGAGATGGAGCCTCAAACAAAGGTAAGAAATGTTTCACACAGCTTCTGTTTTTCTAGGAACGTGGCCACGCTGCCATCAGCTGCTTCTTTTTTAAAACCTTGATTGGTCTCCATCAATTTGAACTAGGGATTCCTGAGGATTTTGTTCAGTTCTCATTTTTAAAGTGAATGCAGTATTTCTGCAGCATCCACACAACATCATCAGCATTTAAATTCTAGCCTGTATCCCCGCCCCACATTTAATCCAGATTTACGTTTCTCAGGGGAAATCCAAGAACGTAAACAATCTTGTTGCCAATTACCCATTGGCAATATCTGAATGGCCCGTTTTCAAATTCTTTTGCTTTTAGTTTTTTAAACATTCTGTATTGATTTTTCAAACTTAAACAGAAATATTGTTACCATATAATTCTGTTTTAAGTTTGAAAAATCACACCTATTTACAATACTTAGCCACCATTTGATAGCACCCTATGTCTGGCTAAAGCAATATGGTCCCCCCCCCCCCCAGACTCTTCTTAGATTCTCACATACTGGTAGGATCTCTTTCATGGTGTCAGCATTTGTGCAGTGGAATTCTGCACTAACTGCAGTTTCCAGACCAAGCCTGAGGGAAGCCCCACCTAGAGTGCATTGCAGTCACTGGTGGAGGAAGGTGTCATCCCTGGGGGGGGGGAAGTTTGACATCTCCGCACCGCCCCCCTAGGATGCTCGCCCCGCCCCCCAGGTGCCAGAGCAGCTAGCTCCGCCTCTGGTTGCAGTAATCCAGTTGAAGTTGCAGTTGAAGTTTAAGCTGAAGTTGAAGTTGAAGTTACCAATGCCTGGACTACTAGGATCAAACTATCCTAGTACAAGAACAGCCACATTTGTCATACCAGCTGAAGCTGGGAAAAAGCACCAAGGCCACCTGAGACGCAGGTGTATCCAGGATCAGACTGTATACTTTCTCCTTCAGCGGAAGCAAAACCCCATCCAAAGATTTAAATTCATCCCCCCAAAAAAATTAATGTTAGATGTTTTACTGTGTTTTTATATGTCCTGTAAGCTGCCCAGAGTGGCTGGGAAAAACCCAGCCAGATGGACGGGGTAATAATAATAATAATAATAATAATAATAATAATAATAATAATATTGATTCTCCGATGTCTCAAACACACAAACCCCTCACCCACAGAGACACTGATCCTCTCCTGATTCAGCTGTTATGGGAGAAACAGAGATCCAGCTTGGCCTTAAGTTAGGCTTGCCATACATCAGGAAAATTCCTGACATGTCCTGGTGTTCGGGTGTAAAAATGGCGTCGGAGGGAATTTTGCCAAATCGGCAAAATGTCAGGGAAAACCTGGATGTATGGCAATGTGAAGGGAAGAGCAGCAGAAACAGCTCCAAAAGCTTAAAATCACTATTTTGTGGGGAGGGTCCCCCCCCAAAAAAGCTCAAGAACTTTGCATGTTTCAGGAATTTTACTTTTTGAAATATGGCAACCCCACCTAAGTAGAAACATCACAAACAAAATGAAGATGCAAACTGAACCTTCTACTACACGGTTTGCATTTGGTAAAGTGTGCATGGAACTATAAAGCTACATATTTGCAAAACTATGGAGAGAGAGAGAGAGAGAAGTGAATATTTTCGTGCTGTGCATGTTTCTGTGTGTATGCATACCCCTGTGTCTATGTATGTATGTATATGCATAATTACATTGTGCATGTGTGTGTTTCTGTTTCTAATAGGCTTTTTGTTTAACCAGAGGAGAGGAAGAGGAAATCCGCATGTAATGAATCTGTTTATTTTATAGAGCTCCCCTAGAGAAGGACGGTGGAGCAAGAGTTATGTAAAGCTCTGGTGGTGGCGAGGCAGCTGCTGGGAAGGGCATATCTGGTTTTCATTTCCATTAGTAAGTGGAAGTGGCTACATAAGGCAAGACCTTGTAAATTCCCTGCTGGGAGAGTAGCCCACTTGTGTGGACCTGTCAGACTTCATCTTGGCCATTAGTTCTGAGCAAACGAGTCTTCTTGCTCTGAGTAATCGTAGCTTCATTCTCCTGCATGGTTTGGACCTGTTCCTGGTCACTGCAGCTCACGCCTTTACATCTGTTCAAAGTAGTTTTAATGTTACTACATAACAAAAATAGTGCAGGAACCACCATTAAGTGATGTTGAGCTCGGTTGGGGACTGAAGCCAAAACCATTAAAAATCTTCTAATTCTGCGTTGGGCTTCATGAATGATAGTGCTGTACTATCCCTGGCAAACCACAGATATGCCTATACTAGGGCAAAGTTTGCACAAAATGCATATACTATCGAAAATAACACACAAAATGCATTGCATTATTCATTTTCACAGCTTTTTATGGACCTTGATCGTAGCTAAAAAGGAGCAGTGATTTGGTGCCCCTGGTAGTTATTTTACTAGCACTGTGCTTCATTCCCCCTCCCCCTCAAAGAAAAATCCCCTACAAGATTACATAAATTATTTCCCCTCAAATTAGTGGAAGAAACAAAGGATGTCTCCTGAAACATAAAAGCCAAGAATGCATTGGCATAAAATTTGAAAATAGGACGTGGTGCTCAAAGCAGGTAGCCTTGTCCCAAATTCTGGAGGAGAATTCTGTGTCCTTTTTCTCACAGGACAAATGAGGACCTCACAGGTTCTGCTGAGCCAGCATGTTCTCAAATATACTCACATGTCAAAGCTGCTAGTCTCAAAGGAAGTTTGATGAGGGGAAATCCATACAAAGTTCTCAAATGCAAGGAGCAGATTCTGGCTGGGAACCTCTTTCCTAGTGAAGTGTTTAGGAAGAAAGTATTCAACTGAAACAGGAACTTGTGTTTTAAAACATGATGAACAGCACAATCCATTGCATGTATATTCAGTAAGTACGATTAAGTTAAATGGGGCTTATTACTAGGTAAGTGTGCACAGGATTGCAGTCTAAGAGATTTCACAAGGCTCTACAGTTCCTTGAAAAGAATCCAGGAAAGTATATATTAGGTTTTTTGTATATACCGGTATGTGCTAAATAGTTCAGAGTCTACAGAGGAGGGTGTTAACTTCCTTTCATGGAAACAATTTCAAGTAACACTAGAGACAAATAATAGATTTTAAACGGTCCAACAGGATATTTAATTGTATAGAATATAAATGCCAGGCTGCCTGTGCCATCCCACATCATAGGAATCTTTGCACTTTCCAATGAGCTGGAGCAAAGCATAGGCTTCTCCTATCAGAGATGAGGAGATCAACAGCCAAGTTTTTTTAAGTCTCAACGTCACTAATTTTAAAAGTTGCCACTCTGTCTGGCTCTCCCTTCCTTGATCTCCCAATAATCAACCCCATTCTGTTTTGCTTTGTTTTTTTAAAAAATAATAATAATTTTAAATTTTAGTGTAAGGGTTCTGCCAAAATTTTGTAAAGGATTCCAGCACTATAAAAACTTTGAGAACCACTGCATTGGTCCGTGGGTAAACTTATGCCATTAGTCAGCCCCTTATCTGCTGTACAGAGGTGATAATATTTTATCTAGCAGAGTTGTTGCAAAGATTATATAAATTGATGGTCCAAGTCTACAGAAACAGATCCTTACAAACTATCAATAGCACAAAATATTGAGAACATTAAGTAGGACTTTACAAACTGTATTTCATCAATCCATATTGTAGCTTATCGTGCCATTTTACGAATGGGGAACTAAGGCTGAGAGAAAGTGAGGTTAAGTCAGACCTTTTGGCATTTGTTCCTACAGCTCCTTTGCCATGGAATACATATTTTCTGCAGCTCCTTCCCCGTCCTAGGCCTACTCTTGCCAATGCTTTTTGGTGCTAGGAATGCCTGCAGAAAAAAAATGCTTTCTGAAAGAGTTTTCCTTTCCTAAAACCATTTCATCTCTGTTGTTAATGATACGGATGCTAGAAGGGCACTCAAGAGAAAAGGCCACTGCTAAAACACCACTTTCAAACTCTCCAAGCATTTCCTTACAACCACTTCACTTCTAGCTTTTGTTTAGCATCTCAGTGACATGAGCACAAAAAACCGAGTGGCCAACAAGAGTCTAAGTCTCAGACATATGTTCTTGCCCCCATTTCACAAGCCATGCACGAACACAGACCAAACTCATCATCATAATAAACTGTGACGGCTGTGCATCTCTCCACCTACGTAAGCTTCAGCATCATGCTGATAGAGCCGCCCAGAGGTTGTTTATCTAACCTGTCCTCTTTTAAGAAAACTTTCCCAAGCTTGTTACTCTCTACTATGGCCAATTAACTTGGGGAAAAAGCAGAAGAAATAAACAGTTATCAGACTGTTGCATTTGAGGGCCCCTGCGGACGTACTTTTTATCGAGCATTCATCATGGTCTGTGCTCACGTAATCAGGGCAGTTACATGCAATCACAATTCCAACACCGTTGGCACCTGCAAAAGTTTTCGGTTGGTCATAATACTTTGTTTGCATGTCCTGCAGGAAAACTCTGTAACTTTCCATACCACTAATGTCCCAGGGGGTGGGGAGTGTTGTCCCACTTCTGCTGTGCACAAGAGTAGCCCTCCAGATGGCAATAATATGGTTACACTGGGGACTTCAGGGGATAAGCTCAGGGTCTCAGAACCTGGAGCAGACAGTCCTTTAGATGCCCTGATCCAAAATCATTTATAATCTTTAAAAGTTAATGATCAGCACTTTGAACTATGCCCAGAAATGAACCAGAAGTCACTGTGGCTCTTTTAATGAGACTTGCAAGCTTCCAAGGTCTAGTTCATATCAGCATTCTGACTGCCACAGTATGAGCCTGCTGAAATTTCCAGACACCCCTCAGAAGTAGCTGCACATAGAGCACATTGCAGTCATCCAGTCTTGATGTAACTAAGACGTGTGTAGCCCCAACCAGACTGGACCACTCCAGGAATAGACACACTGACGTACCAGCCTAAGCTGGGCAAAGTCACTCCTAGCCACCACCTGAGCATCAAGGAATGAGGAGGCAGGATCCAGGAATACCTCACAAGTGCAAACCTGAGTCTTCAAGGAAGCGTTACCCCATCCAAGATGGGTTGGTTTCCTCTTTCCATATCAGCAGTCCTGTCATTTGGGCACTTTCAGACAACCTGTTTATTGAGCATTCATCCTAGTTTGTTTCTGAGGTTAGGCAGCATTGCACCAAGAAAGGGTCGGTACTACTGTAAAATAGTAATAGTCTAGCAGCCCCCATTGTCTTCTCTGGGTTAAATTTCAATTTATTAACATCCATCCAGTACATTACTACTTTCAGACAATGGCTCAGAACATTTACATGAACCAGATACCCTATGCCAGAGAAAGCAGGAAGAGTGGAAATGAGAAATGAGTTAGACAGGTGTAAAATGAGTTAATTTGTGGTGGAGCAGTCCCCCGAGACTTAGAACCAGCAATAAACTTTGCTAGGGGTCTCCAAGATCTGGGTTAAAAAATGACTACCCTTCGCTAAGATAGTCAATATTTCAAACATATTCTCATGAAACATTGCTGGGAGATTAAACCCACCTGACTAAAAGGCATATGATTTCTTGAGAGGAGAAGAACAAGAGTGCTGTATTTCACAGCAGTTCCCACCTCTCACAGGCCACAGGTCTCTGAGTAATGAAAATGTCTCCATCGCTGTATCAACAAACATTCATTGGGAAATGTGTAATGCAGAGCAAAGGGTACACACATTGATTAGAAATGAAGTAAACTGGCTTGGATGACATAACTGTCAACATGAACCTTCACCTAAAATTTCTAATCCAACCAATTTGAATCTTTGTTTAAATCTCACATCCACCCATTAAGATTTTATAAAATCAAAAACATCAATATTTTTCTTCCAATTTTCTCTTTACTCAGTGCTTTATCCTTCCAGAGGTCACCCAAAAGTCACCTGCTCTGGCCAATTTAGAAGGATCAGAATAACATTGGGGAATTAATATCGGATCTTTTCCAAGCTGGCAACTATCAGTAACTGCCTGAAAACTTGAATCAAACTCTGTAAAGTGTGCAAAGGGAAGGCTTGGAGAAAACATCAGTAAAAAGATGTACAATCGGTGAAGACACCCAAAACAGTGAAGCTAAAATTGTACATTGATTTCAGAAACTGGAGAGAGATCCATTTGGCCTGTTTTTGTTATTCTACCCAGCATGTTTGCCTGAGTGGTGCCAGCTCCGCTACTCAGTTTGCCAAATAATGTATACTGATTTTCTTTTTTCAAAGAAACTAATAAATAAAATACTGTTGCTTCTTCCAGGCTTGAAAGGAAGGAAGAAGAATTTTTGTTGTTGTTGTTAAATAATTTTTATTAACCGACCAATCAAATCAAATCAAATCAAATCACATAAATTACAAATTACAAAGCCGAATTTTAAATTTTTGTTGGGGGTACCCATATTTCAAATTCTGAAGGGGATCCAATCATCTTCTTGCTGCTGCTTTAATGTCCACAAATCTGTCCAAATAATGTTCACAATTCTATCCAATCCTTTCTTGTTGTTTTCCACATCTTTTCTTGTTATTTTCATATATTTTTTCCTTTCTCTTTGTGACCTCTGATAGTCTCCACAAGAGGGTTGAAACAAATTGTAATCCTGTGTGGGTTTTTTCATTCGTCCAAGAGTCATATTCAGACGGCTACCGTATTTCATCGCTTCCATAAAGAAAAACACTTTTACCGTCTACTCGTTAATCTTCACAGGTCTGTCACTCCCTTTCTCAGTCCTCTGAGGAGGTTCTGCCAGGAATCCAGTATGAAAACAAATCCATAGCTTCCTCCTCCCGGTCATCAATCTTTCGACAGAATCTGCCAATATGGCGACTCTCTTTTTATTGCTGCGTCATTCCAAAAGCCCTTGTTCTTTTCTCGATCTCCATAAGGCAAACTTTTGCTTAGTAATTCATTTCCACACAGTTTTTAATCATCCTGCTTAGGTCAGTTATGCGACGGTTCTTTCTTGGGGAGGGGTTATTGGTTAATCACATGGAAGAAGAAATTGATAGTTCATTAGCAAGACACGATGGCGAAAGGAGAAAAGGGAGAACGCAAATTCTATTGGGCTTGTCCATAAGCCACACACAAAGCACAAAGAATTGGATAGAAGAATAAAGCCATCCAGCTGAAGCAGTCATAAGAAGGCCTAAAGAAGATCATCATGATGGTACTCACTGAAAAGTGGGGGGGGGGGCAGAGAGGGTCAGATTGGTCTTCCGGGCTACAATGGCGGACGCTGGGACAAGGGAAAGTCATACCCTGAGCAATCCTAGTCCAGGGAGGAAGCTTGTTGGAGGAACTGCAGAGCTTCCCTAAGCCTCCTTCGTGAAGCATGACTAAGAGAATGCTAATTTCCTTACCCAGCTCCTTAAGGAAACGGTACTCCTTGAATCCAGTCCCTATCTGTGGGGAAATGGCTTTCTGAGCTCACTTTCCCCAGGGAGCTTTCCCAAACGGTCTCCAACTAAGAATTACTCTAAGAATTAGTTCCCATGGTAATGTATCACCTATATTTCGCAGGTGAAGACGTACTGAGCCAGACCTGTCCTCGGGTTTCAGGCCCATTTTCCCTCTCTTGCCCACTCACACCAAGAATTCACTATTTTTAAATGCCTGTTTTCAGCTGTCGTTTACTGATACTTTTAAAGTTGGCTTTTTGTAAACCACTTATTCTGACACTTATTACAAGCCATATTTGTTGTTGTTGTTGTTGTTTAGTCGTTTAGTCGTGTCCGACTCTTCGTGACCCCATGGACCAGAGCACACCAGGCACTCCTGTCTTCCACTGCCTCCCACAAGCCATATATAATTGTTAAATAGGCAGATAAAAATAAGAAAATGTCCCAATGCTTAGTGGCAATCTTCATTTGAATGTCAATTTTTTCCCTTTTCCCTCCTTCCAAATATTCTGTTTTCATAGAGGAAGGACAGTTGAGGGACCAAGTTTTGTTGGCTGAAGAGATAGTGGTGAAGAATAGTGCTGAGGGGCTGCAAATGCCGGTCGTTCTGGGCTTGCATATGAATGTAGGTATAGGGCTATGTCCTCCTGAGGAAAATGTGCTGCTACACAGTGAGAAGTAAATGAGATTTGTAGTAAGGCAGAAACTATTGGAGGGAAGGAGGTGGTGACGGGAGGTTTCAGAGAGTTAAGGAATGTCTCGAAATAAAGGCAAGTACTAGCACAGTTGCTTTCTATTTAGGAGCAAATATCAGATATATTTAACTGCAGGATACTCTTGTTAGCTATCTGGCGTACCAAGTACACAAATAATTGCAATGCCAAAAAACATAATTGCAAAGTTAGCTGCCAAAAAGCAAAAGAACTGAAAACTGAACCATTCCTGCCACCACCCTACCCCACCCAAGTGGCCAGCGCAATAGCATTAAATCTGCACCAGTAAATGAGGTAAGCACAAAAGGAATAAGCAGAGGAAAGCGCAAAATAAGGATGGTATACCTAATATACAGTGGTACCTCGGGTTACATACGCTTCAGGTTACATACGCTTCAAGTTACAGACTCCGCTAACCCAGAAATAGTACCTCGGGTTAAAAAATTTGCTTCAGGATGAGAACAGAAATCGTGCTCCGGCGGCACGGCAGCAGCAGGAGGCCCCATTAGCTAAAGTGGTGCTTCAGGTTAAGAACAGTTTCAGGTTAAGAATGGACCTCCGGAACAAATTAAGTACTTAACCCGAGGTACCACTATATTCACAATCCATAAATTAATAGTTTGTGGGAAATGTGAATAAAGGAAACAACGTAACAACGGTTATTTTATTTGATATTTGTGAACTTCATTTAAAGTGTCCAATTATTTTGGTTTAAGTTGCTG